CATCTTGTCAATTGGGATGTTGTTTGTCAGCCGAAGGAACTTGGTGGCTTGGGTCTCAAACGGCAACGAGAGATGAATATCGCTCTTCTTATGAAGTTCGGTTGGGCTCTTTTGACTAAACCAAACTCTCTTTGGGTGCGCTTAATTCTCGCCAAATACAAACTGGTACCCGCCGTGATGGAAGCGAACTTTACATTCTCGAGAGGTTCAACCTTTCTTCGAGCAATGCACAAGGTTTGGCCGCATGTGCAAAATGGGGTGCGCTGGTCCATCGGTGATGGTTCAACTATTCGGTTCTGGCACGATAACTGGACACATAGCCCACGCCCCCTCATTAAAGAGGCGTTAGGTCCCATCCCAAAAAACCAGCTGAATTGGCCTGTTTGTAGCTATGTGGATGCATCGGGCCGGTGGCGATGGGACCTTTTTGGTTACTGGGTGCCAGCACGTATATCCATGTGCATAGTCGCGTTCCTACCGCCGACACGAGATGTCGGGCTTGATAAAATGTACTGGGGGTTCTCGGAGAATGGGTGCTTTACAACTAAATCGGCATATTCTTCATTGTTCCTACTCGACCGGCAAGCGCTTCCAACCGGTGCTCTTGGCGCATTATCTGGCAATGGGTTGGTCCACAGCGAATACGCCAGTTTTTGTGGCTTGCGGTGCAAGATAAGTTACTCACTAATGTTGAGAGGCGGCGACGGCACCTTACGGAATCATCGATATGTTCACTCTGTGGGCGTGATGATGAATCAACACTCCACTACCTTCGGGATTGTGTCGGGGCAACGACGGTATGGCGGAGCTTATTCTCAGCCCACCGAATTCCCGAGTTCTTTACCTTACCTTTGCGTGACTGGTTGCTCCAGAATTTAAAGAATGGGTTGCATATTGCGGTTGCAGACTGGGAGACTATATTCGGTGTCAAAGTGTGGCAAATCTGGGGTGACCGAAATGAAACGATCTTCTCGACAGAGGAGTTTAATGTCGGCAAGTGAATTCGGGACGTTCGCTCATTTGTGCATGGTATCCAATCAACTACCTTGGCCGAGCGGCACTTGGGCGGTCTCGACTTGGGCCGCGAGGTTCAGTTAATTCGGTGGGAAGCTCCTGGAAATGATATGGTCAAAATTAACACGGATGGCTCATTTTTAGCCTCGTCGGGAATGGCATCCGCTGGGGGCTTGGTTCGCGATGCTGAGGGTCATTGGCTTGGGGGATTTGTGATGAATATTGGGTACTGCTCTATTACGGTGCGGAGCTATGGTGACTCTTCCAAGGTTTGTTGCTTGCTTGGGATCTTGGGTATCGCAAGGCTATCGTCAAAGTTGATAATAAGAGTGTGGTGGCAATGGCGATAGGGGGCAAACGGAAAACCTTGGTGTGCATGGCAGTCTTGTACTCGCCATACGTGACTTGCTTCTGCGGGACTGGGAGGTGACTGTGCTTCACTGTTATAGAGAAGCGAACTTTGCAGCGAATTGCTTGACAGCTCTAGCTCATCAGTGTCCTAGTGGTTGTCAGCTGTTACTTGATCCACCATCAATAGTTAAGCCGTGGTTACAGCATGACCTCGTTGGAGTGGCTTACCCACGGAACGTAGCTATATGATGGTCCTAGGCTTTGGCTTCCTTCTTTGTACCCAAAAAAAAAATGTGTTTTATTTTCACTTATTTTCTTGTAATTATGCATTTTTATCTTGTTTTCTTTTATGTGAAATAACATGATAAAATTAATTAATAGGAATTATTAATAAAATAATATTTTTTTAGATTTTGTTCTTTTACTTTTATTTACTCGATCAACCTAAATCTTCAATTCCTTACATGAACATAAAAAAGGGTTAGTTGTTAAATAAATTTTAACCTTTTTGTGTTTAAAAATTTTATCCCAATCTTTGGGTAATTACAATATAATCTCAACCTCAGTTTACTTACTGCAAGTCAAACCTTAAACCGGTCGGACCTTAAAAAAGCCACCGTGTACGGCAGCTTACATCGACGTGGAATTTTTGACTTTGTGCGTGGATATACATTAAATATGTGGAAATTATCAACTTGCTGTGTGGCATAAAAAAACGTGTCCTTAAATTCGATTATATATATACTTAACCTACCATTAGTCCCTCAATTCCAAAATTTTCGATCCATAAATTTTAAAAATCTGAATCCCTAATTTGAATCCTTGAATTCCCAAAATTTTCAATCCCTTAATTTACAACCCGTCACCTTTCTGTAATTTGTTTCAAATAATCCCTATTTTCTCAAAAGAACCGTATTTTACCTCATTTCCCTGTCGAATGAAACTCTCGAACGCAGAAACTCAAATTCTCATGAAATTGAGACGACCACGCTGCTAAATCTTGGTGCAAAGATAGGATTTCGAATGCAGGTTCGATTTTTATGTAGGGAAAGTGCAGAGAGATTTTTAGGAATTTGTGGATCGATTTTCTGCTGAGACGACAAGGGTTTTTTTGTGGGGAAATTGAGACGACACGGGTTTTTATACCCGCAGAAAGGTGAAATTTCTACGTATTTAATGTATATCCACGCATCAAATTGAAAATTCCACGTCGATATAAGCTGCCAGACACGGTGACGATTTTTGAAGGTCCGACCGGTGTAAGGTTCGTATTGCAATAAGTAAATTAAAGTCGATGTTATATTGCAATTATCCAAAGGTTGGGATAAAATTGTTAAACGTAAAAAGGTTGAGATTTATTTAGCAATTAACATTATAAAAGATGTTTGTTAGGTGTATATAATTCAATCATATTAGTGTGAGGGTGTATATTATTGAATCTTTGTGTGTTTTTTAACGTGAGTTATGTGAATTTATCTAAAATGCGAGTTTCAATTTATTTTTTATTGGTTATTATATTGTTTAAATGGTTATTGAGTATTTTGCAATAAAGATTGATTAAACTAGAATTGGCTATTGTGGAGTACAGAATGTACGGTTAACTTAACTATATGGTTAATGTTAATGAGAGTTAGAAACTTTGATTATTATATATTCATATGTTTTTCACATACAAAGTGTGAAGGTGATAAATTTTTCTTTTTATTTTTTAAGTATTTTTTGTTCAAATTTATGAAATTAAGTTATAATTTTTTATTTTCACTAATTTTTCTATCATATGATAAATTTTTATGAACCTATTTTTTAAAACAAAAACATTAAGAATTATTTACCATATTTGGTCTAGGGCCTAAAAATTCCCCGGACCGGTTGTGGTAATTAGGGTTGGGTACAAAGGTGGAACATCGACAATGAGAGTTATACAATCAACATCTATGTGTATGGATCTTCCAACTATATAACTCATACTAGTAGGTCGAATCTTTAGTGACCGGAAGAAACTTAAGATATTACCTAATGTGTTGAACTCAATTTGATTTAGGGTAATGTGCTAATTTTTCATACCTAAACAGTAGGACCTGATGTGCTCTTGTACCTCGAATCCAGGGGCGGAGCCGTATAGGGCCTAGTGTGGGCCTAGGCCCACACTGGAAAAAAAAAATACTATCTTATCTACCTGACTCAAGAAATAGTTTAATGCTAAATTAATAATAAAAAACAATAGGAACACAAAGAAGAGAAAAAAAAAGGTATAATAAGAAAAAAAAAACATTATTCTTGTTTATTTTGGTCAAAATAAATCTAGTCATTTTTTTATTAGATTTTATATAAATATTAAAAATTTAAACTTGTAGTTAATTGAATGTTGTTTTCTTAAAAGACTATTAACATATTTAAATGTGCGTGTGACTGATAACTTGTAGTGCTCTCAAGTTTGATAAATTAGATAAAACATTTTACTATAATTTATTTTTTATATTCAACTATGGAGAAATATTTTTATAAATGGTCTTGAAAATATTTTTAAAACTTAACTACTTTTATTCCAAATATACCTGAGGTGAATTATAATATTGTTAGGCAGAAAGAAAATGTAAAGACCTTATTGTAGAGTCATACCAAGCTATAAAAAATCATATAAGAATTTCTACGAATGTTTGTTTTCTATCATACTTTTTTATGATGTATTATATTTGTTTTCTAGAAACAAGTAGGCTCCGCCTCATATTATGAGCTTTATCCGCCCCTGCTCGAATCAGCCTTCAACTGATACTCGGCCTGCAAAGACGTCTGGAAGCGCTCCCGACATTAAATCTTCGACGATCAAGTTAGTAAAGAACTATGAAAAGTTGTTGAAAATCACAGTCATTTCAATTAATGTCATTTTTCATTATCCTATTATACTTAAAAAATACTATTATAAAATGCTCTTTAAATTACAGTCATTTTTCATTATAAGTATACATCACTATAAAAAGTCATGAGCATTTGCATAAAATTAAATAGTTGACGTTTATCTACATTCAATTTTGTAAAATGAAAGTAAAATCTTGTGGTCGATCTAGTTCGACGTTAACCATGACCTAAGCTAACTTTTCTCTTCCATGTTTTAAAGAAGGAACAATAGTGTTCTCAAATTTCCTTCTCGAGACTCGGATCCATAACCTATCGACCCTAGGTGAAGCAACTTACAACTCACAAGAAGGTTATCTAAAGAAGAAAATATTAATTTATTGACTAAATCATTATTCTGCACCTTTATTAGGTTTATTATAGCTTTTTCAGTTATTTAGACCATTCACAATTATTAGAATTCATTTTTGCTTATTTATCATAATAAAAAAAATTAAATCTTAAATTATGCAGAGAAGCAAAAGAAAGGATAAACAATACCCACTTCAATATAACATTTAAAAATTAGGCTTTAAAGAGATGTCACTAATAAATATATAAGTAAACATATGAGATGTTTAACTCTATAACTACGTCTCAAAATGGACTTAAATCAAAGACATAATATGTACATGTCACATCATCTAAGCTTAATTTTACTTACTCTTTTTCTTCAAACAAAAAAAA